CAGTGGCAGTCATGGAGCTGCCTCAGGAACATGTCAACCCCCAAGCCCTGGCTAACGTCTTCACCTGCACCCTACCAGTCCTGCCATCGTCGTCCCCGATGCGCCCCAGGGCCGTGGAACTCGGACCGGAAGCGGCGCCGAGACGTCCTCTGTCGACATCACCTAAGCGGCGCCGTGCCAATACCAACCCGTCTTCTACATGAGTCGGCGGCCAAGAGTACACAATTCCGACAAGAACGCACTCAAACGAATGTGGGCAAAATCCCGCCGGCCCACGATTGCGCCCTGGCACTGGCCGACTCCGAAAAATATGACATCGTCCTTCTCCAAGAACCCTGGACAGAGGCAAAGAACTCAAGATGCCTCACCAAGACTCACCCAGCCTACGACACCTACTCACCCGTAGACAGCTGGGACAGCAATGACACGCGGCCGAGGGTCATGACATACACCCGCAAGGACGCACGCATTCTCGCAGACCAGAAACGACCGGCACTCACCCGAGACATCCTGTGGCTTACGGTGAACGCGTCACAATCGTCAACTTCTATCGCCAACCGCGCTATGACGTCTCCCTAGACGTCCTGCTGCGGTGGCCGGCACCAGAAAGGACCCTTGTGGCTGGTGACTTCAATGCTAAGCATTACTCCTGGCAAACCGGACGACTGGAGGGCCGTGGAGAGGACATTGCCACCTGGGCAGCGGAAAACGGCCTGAATCTGTTGAACACGGCGGACGTGCCGACAAACCCGCATGGCAACACAATCGACTTGGCTTTCTCCAACATTGCTTTGGCATCCGCGGTTGTGGAAGACCATCTCGCCACGAGCTCTGACCACTTCACTCTAAGTCTCACACTTCCCGATGTTAGCTTGAGCCTGCCGCAGGCGCCGGGCAAAGTGCGTGTCACGACTGAAGAGGAGCTGAAACGCTTCAAGGAACTCGTTGCCGCCGGAGCTTGTCGAATACCAACGGACACGGCAACAGCCTCGCAGCTTGACACACTTGCCGCGGCGCTTGTTGACCTCCTCCAGTCGGCTGCCAGAGCTGCCGGTCGCCCCGTACGGAAAGGAACGCGAAGTGCGCCGTGGTGGACCGACGAGTGCGCCGAAGCCGCCGCGGAGTACCGCGCCATACGAAGAATTCTCCCTTTGGGATTCAGCCAGGAAGTCCAACTAGCAAGAAGAGAGTTCCAGCGTGTGGTCCGCCGTGCCAAGCGGCAGTACTGGCGCAACCTCATCGACGGCTTCTCGGATAGCGCATCGGTCTACAAGGCAGTCCGGTGGCTCAAATCACCAGGAGCTTTCCAGCCCCCACCGCTTCAAATTGGTGACGTTGTATACGAAACCCAGCTGGATAAAGCGAATGCGCTGAGACGCAGCACTCTTGAACGCCGCACGGCAGCGGATGACATCACGGACCCATGGATCCCGGTCCGCCCAGTCCGGAAGATACCTTTTGCCCAAGAAATCACGCTGGAAGAAGCAGAGGACGCTACAATCAAGACGGGCAACACCTCGCCTGGAGCCGACAGCATCACGGTCAAGCTGCTGCAAGCAGTATGGGACATCATCGGGGGACACGTCTGTCGCCTCTATCAGGGATGCCTAACTGTTGGCCATCACCCTGGAGCATTTCGAGAAGCAGAAGTAGTCATGATCCCCAAGCCGGGGAAGAGAAATCTGTCGACCCCCAGGGCATGGCGCCCTATTTCTCTGCTCTCCTGTCTTGGGAAGGGCCTTGAGCGGCTAATCGCTCGCCATCTCGCGTGGGCATCAATCCATTATGCAGTCCTCCACCCACAGCAAGCCGGCGCGCTCCCGAAACGGTCGGCCGTTGACCTGGTCGCTGCACTGATTCATGATATCGAGGAAGCATTCGCACGCGGAGAGGTGGCCACACTAGTCACAGCAGACATCCAAGGAGCCTTTGACACAGCCATGGGCAACAGGCTTGTCCTGAGGCTCCGTAAGCAAGGCTGGCCGGACAATCTTGCGCGGTGGGCAGGCTCGTTCATGAGCGGCCGCTTCGCCAGAGTCAGGTACCAAGACATCACGACACCGACGACGCCGTTGCAGTGCGGCCTCCCACAGGGATCGCCCGTGTCTCCGATCTTGTTTTTGCTCTACACCGAACCGATCTATCGGTTAGGCAATCCCGAAGGACGGTTCGGGTACGCGGATGACACCGCCATTCTCTGCACTGGACAATCGCTGGAAGAAACATCGCAAACAGCGTCGGAATATCTTCAAGAACTCGTGAACTGGGGCGCCGCCAACGGCATCTCATTCGACCCAGAAAAGACAGAAGTCATGCACTTCTCACTGAGGAGGCGGGAAACCGAGCTGCCCGTCTGCCATGGTGACGTGGAGAAGCAACCAGAAGCAGCCATGCGCTGGCTAGGCCTCTGGCTGGACAGGAAGTTGACATTCAAGACTCATGTCGAGAAGTGGACAGCCAAGGCCCAGGCGGTCGCCCAACCGAAGGAAGGACCATCTATAACCCAGCAGCTTGTGCGGAAAATGAGCAAAGCCCTCAAGCAGGCCATCCGAGCCATTCTCCCAACCTGGAAAACCACGCTGATCGCTGTCTTGCATCGAGAAAGCGGCATACCTCCGGTTCACCAACTCCTTGAGGCAAGACGACTCCGCTTCTCAGCTCGCATCAAATCACTGGACCATGCACACCCTCTGGCCAAACGCACCACCGAGGCAGCGCCACGGCCTATCATCAAGTGTATCAAGTTGAAGTACCAGCTCCCGCCAAAGACCTTTCCAACCCGGTTGAGGAGGACGAACAGATTGCTTGGGAATTGCCAACGCCCCGTACTCATCCCGCGCAAATATAGCCACGAAACACAGCAGCCTCTCCAAACTGCATCCAAAGAAGAGTCCGCCAAAGACTTTGACCGATGGCTTCAAACCATCCCAGCGCTTAGTCTTATCGTGTACTCTGACGGCTCACTGTCCTCCGGCGGTGCTGCCGGATACGGCTATGCCGTCCACCAAAGCGGACGCTCTGTCTGCCAAGGCGCAGGACGCCTCGGCCCTGCGGAGGTTTTCGACGCTGAGGCTAAAGGAGCGCTGGAGGGCCTCAAAGCCACTCTTAGGCTTCCTCAGTGTGCCACACAACGAATAGTGGTATGCCTGGACAACATCGCAGCTGCCAAATGCTTACGAGGCAAGCCATCAGACTCGTCGCAGAGGGTCTTCCTGACCTTTCAGGCCCTAGCGAAGACGCACCGAAAGACCGAAGTCCGCTGGATACCCGGACACACCAAGATTCCAGGAAATGAACAAGCCGACATCCTGGCGAAGATGGGATGCGCCCAACCCGAACCCGCAGACGCAGTCCCAACACTTGCCTTCTTGCGAAAGACCGCTAGACAGCGGTCCAAAATCACAGTCCAAGCCTGGTTGGATGCTTCTGCACCCGATAAGTATCAGACTCTGACCCTCAAGTTCCCTTCTAGCTGTCCTCCGGAGTTAGCTCTCCCACGAACAATGCTTCACCACCTCCTAGCCGCGAGGACTCATCACGGTGACTTTGCTGACTACCACGAAAGATTCCAGCACAACGACGCTTGTGTTACATGTTCTTGCGGTCGGCGCAAGGCGCCGACGCATCTTTTCTATTGCCGGAAGATTCAGCCGCGTTGTCGGATGAGGCTTGCTCCCTCACCGACCGTGGCGATCAACCAAGCACTAGGCAGAGATTTCGACAAATTCGTCAAGCTGGTGAAGGCAAGCTCTTTCTTCGAGAAGATCTGCCCGCACCACTAGATGAAATCATCCATCACAGCACTGTCGTGCTCCCTTTCCTTTGTTTCTTTCTTCTCCGGCGGCGACCTCAACACCTTCTGCCCGCGCACGCCTCTTCTGGCCGCCACCGCAGCCCGCACCATAGACCAATCTGCTCCAGTAGATAGCATCACCTGCACAACCCGCTGACGGGTAACAGAGTAGACTGTGAGCGCCTTCGAGCTGATGCCATGTTAGATAGTGTTCTGTTTACGTAGTCGCACGTAGTTAGCAAATTTAGCCACTAGCCTAACACGTCCTGTGCCCCGCTAGGGGACTTGAGTGGCCAATGGCCGCTGGACGAAAAATATACATACATACATATTGATGGGCTGCCCAGAGAGACATGTACATGCATATTTGGTAATGATTCTAACAATATCAAGTCTCCGCACCGCCCCCAGGAAACGCCGGCTCCACATCAGACAAGACGCAAAAACCAAACACAGCCACCACCCAAGAAACTGGAATCTTGAGCTTTTCGTGCCTCTCTGCTGGCGCCATCGAAAGACCAAAAGAGCTAGTCGAGAAATGATCACATCAGCCTGATCCCCAATATCTAGCGACCATGACGGCTAGTGACCGGGGGCATCTCTCCAAACACAAGTAACCCTTCTATGGGGTAAATTATCAATTCAAAGGCAACACAATATCATCCCTAATCGGATTTCCAGCGCCGGCGCTAAATGAGCGGTTGCAGTAAACGGACAGACCAAAGCGAACCATAATGATTGGCACATCTGTGGGCGAGTTTCTACTTATTCGCATTTCCATAATTGTATTTCGATATCTTCCGGCTCTATACGTCGTCATTCTACTCTGCAACGTTCTAAAGAGAGATTCGCCGTGGCATAGCTTGGCCACCGTCATCCCGGCTTTGTTACTACTAGCAGAAACCTTGTTCTTCACCTTGATATACACACCGCACAAGCGGAGATTGCAATGCACGGCAATCCACCCGGCTCCTTTATCGCATACTGAACGGAGACGCTTATTCGACAAGTGCATGGCGAATACGCCTCATGTGACCGAATACTTGCGCGGGTGGTTCCTCGGTGCCGAGTTGGAAGACATTCGTCGAGACAACCTGCGCGAATTCTTCCTCTGGGCATTTTTCGACACCCAAGTGAAAAGCAACGACCCGGCATCCATTGATCAGGACATCTGGAACGAGATCAACGACTATGTCAGGCTGACGGAAGCACGACTCGGCCACCCTCTACGCGAGGGATGCGGTCCGGCCAAGAGTCTTCGTCCCACACTGGACGGCATCTCTACTGCTTACAGATGTCTACTATGGTATTTCATCGTGTTCCTAGTCGACCAAGCCACACACTACGTATTAGCCCGGCACGGGTTTCGTTATTACGCCAGGACTTTTCATGTTGCACGGAGGACGTTTCCCCCTCGCCCACAAGAGTTGTTTGCCAAGCATCGCTCGACAGTACCCGAGCTGAGCTACTGGTTTCTGCCGCACACCACAAACAGTGGGAGCAAACGATCCATTATTTTCTGGCACGGAATCGGGATAGGACTGTGGACGTACGTGTGGTTCATCATACAATTGCGTGCCCCCCGCGCTTCAAACCATGACACAGGCATCATTGTGCCAGAGATGCTTCCCATTTCCTTTCGACTTACGGACCCGCCTCCTCGCAAAGACGAACTATTGAGCATGGTGATCCGAATTCTGGACCACCACCAGGGCTGGGAGAGGTTCACGTTGGTGTCTCATTCATACGGGTCAGTTCCCACGACTCACATGCTGCGGTCACCGCAATTGAGAAGAAGAATCCAGTCCATCACCCTCATTGACCCCGTGACAATTCTTCTTCACTTGCCGAACGTCGCCTACAACTTCACACGACGGACGCCGCAGCGGGCAAACGAATGGCAGCTTTGGTACTTTGCCGGCACCGACTTGGGAGTAGCCCTCTGCCTCGGCAGGCATTTCTTCTGGAGAGAAAACATCATATGGAAGGAGGATCTAGTATCAGAGCATACCCGGCAGACAAGGCGGCATGATGCCCAGGGCACTCAGAGGGTCGCGGTGTGCTTGTCTGGACGGGACTTGATTGTAAATACGGCAGAAGTTGCACGGTATTTAAGGGGCAGGCCGGATATGACGGGTGTCCCAGCAGCTTCCGAGGACACCCAAGGCAGCAGTGAGTGTGCTGTCGACGACGTACAAGTTGTGGTGTTTCCTCGCTTGGACCACGCCCAGGTGTTTGACCGGAGGCGTGAGCGCGAGAGAGTTGTCGAGCTTATTCAAAACCCGCATTGATTGACTTGTCAGTTGGGAACCGTATAGAAGACGATATGGCAACGGAGACGGGAGTAGATCAAGCATAGCCAGCCCTCGAATTTACCCACCGAAGATTATGCCAGATGCACATCGACTACTTTTATTTGTCCGGTGTGGTTTCGTCGCCTCCCCAACCGTCCAAAGTAGCACCAACTGGACGCGGCCCGCCATGTATGACGACACACACAAGATCTACATGGCTCCCGTTCACAACCTGATGCTCGGTCCAGGCAGGGATGAAAGCAAAGTCTCCATTGCCCAAGTCATGTTTTCTCAGCTCCGACTCAAAGCCCTCATTCACTGTCAGACAACCCGTCCCCGAGACAGTGTACATGATTGCATCTGCAGGCGTGTGCATTTCATGTTAGTAATGGAAACTTGGCCTATGCCGACATGTCAGGAGTCCAGGATGGCGAGCCAACGGCGGCACAGATCTTAGCTGCAAGCCTCAGGCCCAACAGGAAAAAAGAGGGGGAGTGAAGTTCTGGACACGAACCTTGTTCGCTGTTGTGGTGGACTGGAGTTTCGGACTGTGGTCGAACCGTCAGGACTATGTATGTGCGAATGTTACATGACAGGGCCAAATATAGCATCATGCTCTCCCAGGTGGGCATGAGACATGCGATGTGTCACTAACCTGTAGCAGACATTCTATCGCATTTGTCCACAATGGCAGCCCTGACAGTAACGGGACCTTCAACAACAGTAGGATACTTGGGCTCCAGATCCCCAGCCCGCGTCACATGCGTGGCCGCGGGCATGATCATAGGCAAGATCTCGGAGATAAGAGGGAAAAACGACGCCATGATTGACAACAAAAAAAAAAAAAAAAAAAAAAAAAAAAAAAAAAAAAAACCCGGGCAAACAGAAACACTAGTTCATCGCTCCCGTTACTTGAACAACTTTCCTCCAGCTCATCGAATCGAAATTTGCCAGTATAGAGAAAATGTACCATCATATGACCTGCATTGTAGCTCACATCATCCATCGCAATTTTATCTGTGCCCCGACCATTATTTTTCTGCTTTTGAGCTAGCACTTGGCTTTGCTTGAGGAAGTCTAAAGGCACAACGAGCGGCAACTGATCGCCGAAACAAAGCTTAATTAATTGGCTTGCATATGGTCTAAGAGTCGCGTTAGCACTCCCATGCAAGTAAGCCATAGGCATCAGGGGGCGTACTTACGATTTGCGCAATATAGACTGGCGGCCGTTGGCTTTTGCCTTTTCTCTTCTCAATGCCTACAGAGGACATGTTGCTTCACAGGCTCAGTTGCTTCACAAGTCAAGTCTGCTCGAGGAACAAAGATCGCCAAGCTGGTCGTTGAAATATGTTTTCGAGAGCAAGAAATTACCAGGAGAGACTTCGAGTTTTGTAGGGAAGATGCCGGTTGCGGAAGGGAAGAACGAAGCGCTGAACTGTGATTTTGAGTTCTACGATTTGATGTTTGCGGCCAGCGATGTCCTTTGAAGAATGGGAAGAAACTCTTTTGCTAATACATGACCGCGCACTGCAACACTCGATCGGATACGTGTGGAGGCCCCGTTGATCCCGGGCTAGGATCTCAATCGGAATAACCTCATTAGTTTCCTCTCGCGCAAGACCGCTTGGCACAGCATGGAGAGCGCTTGATCAGTGCACACTCACCTTCCCGAATCCTAGTAGAGAGCTTGCGCTACCCACTAATAGCTGCGGCTTTGGCAGTACAGAAGCTGCATCGACCGGCACATCTGATGCGCGTGTAGTTCCCGAACCCGCTTCGTCCGTAGCACCGGGGACACTCACATGGCACCTGGCGGCTGGTGCCAGCAAGGCGGGATCTGCTCATTTCGCTTCGAGAGCCCCGTTCGTTGCGAAAAGTACTGGTTCATCATCGTGCGTCAGAGGTAAGGGCATGTCAACTGGCTTCGAGGTACTCCCGGTGTACCACGCGTGTCTGGCAGCTACGGTCGAAGCGCGGTCCGGATTGGGAAGCAGAACAACGACGTTGGGTGCTCACCCACATGTGGAGGGCCACCGTTGTTCGGATACGCACAGCGCCCGGCCACGACTGTGCCCGAGTCGCCAACACCTGCCCAGCAGTCAGCTTCGGGTGCGCTGTTGAAGCGCTGCGTGTCAGTGACACGATTGCCCGACGGGGCAGATTGGGGTGCATAGCGCCTGTTGACGGCGCCCAACCTCGGCATCTCGCCGCCTCCACCCAGCTCTAAAATGAGCCAAAATATAATCAATCGATAGCTTACTCCTTGATTAACAATACTACAAAAATTATTTTAGCATAGGATCAAACCGTGATGTTTCATTCCTCATTAAAGACCAAAATTCATCCCAAACAAGCGCTGGACGGCCGAATGGCCCGTACGTGCCAAAATGCTGACTAAGATAGCTTACGGCACTGGCGACTGATACATGGGCACCCCCCTTTAGATATTTGGGCACCCAGTGGTACGTAGAAATGCCAGCCATTTCCATATTTAGTGATGTACTGCACCGGGTGCGTCGGTCAAACTTATGTCAACTAAGGGCAGGCCCACAAGAAGTACAAAAACACCCAGCGCGATTCTCACCATAAACACTACTAAAAAAAATATTAAAAGGGAAAAGGTAGCTATTAAATTTAAAAAACCAGTTATTCTTACTTTCATTTTTTTATATTAAATTTATATCGTGTTTTAGCC